GAGAGGGGTAGACTTGCCTCATGAATCATCGAGCATCACTAAAATAGCATGCGATAATTCTAGAAGCAACAGGTTTAGTATAACGTCCAATCGAACCTAACCAAAATTTATTATCTTTTTACCTCTTTTACTCTAATTTTATTAGCCTTTTTAATTTACCTTTCCATTTTTTTTTTTTATCTTTTCTCCTTTTTTGTCCGAAATTGATGATTAAGTCCACTAAGTCCAAAGTAAGAAAGATTAACAAGCATGACTTGATCCGAGAAATGAACTCTTCGAGCCCTTTTCTACGAGGGAAATAACAAAGGAGGAATCAAACTCATTTACAAGTGATAATGAATTCAGAGTCAAACCCGAAACGGACGATAAACTCCAAATCCAATCCCGATAATGAGCTATAATGAATCATTCCTTTATGATTTCCAATGGTCTAACCAGAAAATTAGTCCCTTAAAAGTAACGCACTGGTGACCGGAGGATAGGTCAAACAAGAGATTGTGCTTAGTATAAGAAAAAAGTGATGCTCTAGTAATGCACCTCTAAAGAGATTAAACCATTTAGCATGAGAAACCCCCTCCCTTATACCAAGAACAATAATCCATTTGATACAACCTTTGATCGAAAGAGCAAAGAAAGGGAGAAGGTTACAGAGTATGAATGAAAAGTGGATGATTACAATGACATGAATATATACATGAAAGCTGTAAAAATGAAGGAAAAGGTTATTAAGTCAAACGGATTGGCGACAATGTCCTAAACATACCAAATTCGGGAGGACTTACAACAACACAACTATAGTAATCAAAGCATAATTTAACACATTAAAAAGCACTCAAACAACATAAAAATAGTGTCGAAAATCAAGTTTAGGAGGTGAAAAAATGTGGGCAAAAGTAGAATAAAACCAAGAGGTTTCATCTAACCAACAAGCCTAAGGAAGGGTAGCTAACCCCTCCTCTTTTTGTGACTTTAAATCACATATTTCAGGCCTCAAAACACTCTGAAAATAGAAAGTGAATATAAGAAAAAGAGAGAGAACAGATGGTTGAAGAGTTCAAAGATTACCTCCTGAAAGAGAGGATGTTCTTCTTAGTTCACAAACCACACTTTTAACACTCTAGGATTTGAAATTATCTTCAAGAACCTCAGCAAAAGCTTCAAGTTTAATCTTATAAGGTGTATGTATTGTGTAGAAGGTAGAGAAGATGGTTGGTCAAGCTTTAGGCTCTTAGGGAATTTTCTAACCCCTAATGGGGTGTTGTATTTATAAAAAAAAAAAAAAAAGGTTCTCACGTCGGAAATATTTGTATCAAAGACAGCTGGTCCAAAGCATGTACATGGGAGCAAGCAACAACTGTCAAAATAGCTGCTACGCTGAACATGGCTGGCCAGCCATGAAGAGATACAGCTGGCCAAATGAAAATGGCATGCCGGCCATTTGCTGGCCAGCTATTCTCTGAGTGGTCGAGCTAGAAAAAATAAGGTTTTGGTCTAAAAAGGGTGCAAGGTTTAGGTTTTAAAGCTTGAAACCAATTCATTTTGCTGAAGATTTGAACGATTGCACAGCGTAACGTTTCATCATCGAGTGTTTAGAGTGAGGTGCCCAAGTCTTAAGGGTGGTCAAAATAGGGTGTTTACAATGTTGTCCCACTAGGCGTGCCAAAAATTGTTAGTAAAAATTATGCTTATTCCCAATCGACAAGGATTAAACAACAATTTAAACTAAACAATCAAATAAGAATAATCAAGCAACTGTGTAATTGATTCAAATGCCTCAAAGGAATGAGGATTTCTCTGGAACAATTGATAGTGACAAAGTAAACAACGTAAACAAAAAGTAATTTCAAAGGTGATACTACTGAAGTTCACAAAAGTTTACAAATCACAGTGATAAACTAATATTCCTATTTCGAAAGAGAAACTACTCCTAAGATAAACCTAAATCTAAAGCTGAGTGTTGTTGAGTTGATGATATCCTTCTCCCTTCAAATTTATGGCCTTTATATTCACTTCCTCTTTTCCTGGCCTACGATCGCATGATTTCCCCGAGTCTTGCAACTACCACTGCTTAACTGCTACAACTGCTCCCTCGCTTTCAAACTTTCAAACTTCATTAAACTTTCAATTTCAAACTTCATTAAACTTTCAATTTCACCTATCGAACTGTCTTTCCTCCATGTTGCCATGTGTCCTTCAACACTTTGGGCCTCTCATCGATAGAGCCAGGTCTTCATTCTACACCTGATCCTTTTTGCAACCAACCCACTAAGTCCACGACTTAGCCTGATAACTATTTCACCTTCTGGGCCATTCAATGCACGTGATCAACCCCTCTAATGCCACTTGTCCTTTTGACTAATGGAGAGTTCTCATTTTGACTTTGCCATGTGTCATCATTTGGTTGATCCACCTGTCAATAGGAACTTAACAAAAATGAGTGCAAACAGAACCCCAATGCATTAATCTAAATTTATAAAAAAATAAAATAAAAACATAAATGTTGAGAAATGCACATAGCATAGAAAGTGGTTCCCAAATGAATATTTAATATTCATGACTTATATTTACCAATTAATATTTAAATAAATAAGTGGGCTGATTACTAATAGATTGCACAAGACAATTCTCTAATGACTAAGCTTGAGCTAGGAATGGTTAGTATAAAAATTGACTCAAACTTGATCTCTACTCTACTTTCAGTGTTCAATACAATTACTAAAACTCTCAAATTTGCTCATGTCGAACAGAACTTAAAAAACTTATAAAATTTAAATATAAGAGCAACGTTAAGAATTCCAAATGAATTACCAAATATTTTTTTAGAATATGAAACCCATAACATTTTTGTAAATATAAAGTTTAAACCAATTGTCATCAAATATTCTAATCACTTTTCTAGATTAGGTGAACAACTAGGTCTAAGATATGGCCCTTAATTTATGGGCCTGATCTTAGATAGCTTTAAATTTTCGACAATACTAGAAATGCTAGCACATTTACTATCAATCTTATTAATACACTTACAAGTTTAGAAAAGATTAACCATTATTTGGTATGTAACCCACATCAACTTATGAGCGTACTACTAAGATTATTAGTAAATATGTTAGTACCCCTAACATTTTTCTTAAATAATAATAACAATGACAAAGAAAAATATACATATAGTATGTGTTACTCAAGTGGTAAGAACATTTATTAAACTCATGGTCATTGGTTTGAGGCCCGTCCTACTCTTTATGTAAAATGTTATATATTTTGTATGAAATTAAGTGTAATATATAATTTTTGAAATAAAATTGGAAAACTTTATTCATATATAAAAATCATACAAAAAACTTTACAAAAACAATATGACAATGTCACTTTTAGAAAGAATATCATTTTTATAGGTATTTTGTTTTGAAATAAACAGTCTGTAATAAGTCACATCATTTGATATGAAATATCATAACTTTTTTTTTTTCTTTTTTTTTTTTGGCACATGTGTTACAAAGTGATCCATAGTTAATGGAAAATCATATACCATATGCACTTTACTACAAAAATGTACAATTTTGTCACAAAATTTCATAATATCAATCATAAAATGGGTAATTTCATCGTAAATTAGCATAATAAAATGTTCATAATTTTATTGATGTTGCAAAAATTTATATATTTTGTGATAAAGTGTCTATAGCATTTTCTTTAATTAATGGAAAAATTTACAATGCACATCCTTTCAAATGATACACATTGTAAAAAAATTATGATTTTTTATGATGAACGTTATAATTATTTGTGATATGTGTTATAATATTTGTAGTAAAATTATACGTAGCAAATTTATGATGTACACCCCAAAGTTAGGAATAATAATGTTAGGATATTTTATGATTTTTGTTATGACATTTTAAAATTTTGTTACGACATTTTTCAATAAAAAAAATTATGACTTTTATAAAAAGTTATGACATTTTGAGTTTAAATTATAAAATTTTATAAAAAAAAATTATAAAAAACATACTATATATACTTTTTTAAGAATGCAAATTATAACATCTCTGCTATTAATAGAAGAAGTAGTTGAACAATCAAGCACCTCCCAACTATAAATGCTGCCGACAATATGCAATCTTTGGGTTGAAAAATTATTAGCCGGTACAGGCTTTTTCTGTTCTCTCAAAATTAGAAAGATTATGGGATCATGTACTTATTTAATGAGATAATGTTATTTGCTTATTATTTTTTATTTTTTAAAGTCATATAATTATTGGACCTTAATAATATAAAATTTTTGAAAGACTGAATAATTGTTCATACGTTCCACTGATCATCACATGTCCAGTCTCTTGTTATTGCTTATGTCTCAATACAAAATCACGAGTCGCACTTTTTCTATTAATCATAATTCTTTTAGAATGTGTTCGGTTGAAAATTTTAATGAAAGAAATGAAAAGATAAAAAAAATACAATCTCACTTTTTATTTAGTTATAATAAAAAATACAGGAGAAAAGAATGCAATAAGAAAATTCAATCTCACTTTTTATCTTTTAAATTCATAATTTGAAATTCAAATCCTATAAAAAGAAAAAAATTTCTTTTCTTTCTATTTCTATTTTTCCTTCCCTTTCTATTTCCTTCATCCAATTTTCAAACTAAGCCTTAAAGGTCATGTTTGATTCCACAAGATTAATAGTGAGGTATTAATAATCCAATCAAATTAGTGTGGTATTCACAATTCCACCCCTACCCCATTACTAATTATCCTACAAATTTGTTGGATTAATTATCCATTGGATTGATAATCCTAAAACAAAATGTCAAAACAAACATAGGATAATTGGGCCCGCGGATTAATAATCCCAATCTCATGCTCTAATCTTTCCAATCAAACATGCCGTGTACTATCTGACCATGGTCCAAAATCACCAAATAACTTCTCGTTGGGTGGTTGAAAAAATTGTGATGTCCACCTTTTCATCAGCAATGGTATGAGTTTGCTAAGCGTTATTCATTTAAGTCGTTTGGTACCTTCTTTCCTCTCTTAAACACTATTCACATATAGAGAGAGAGAGAGAGAGAGAGAGAGAGAGAGAGAGAATGTGTTGGTGAGAGGTGTAGTTTTGCTACGAGTAACAAAAGACGGGCAGAGAAAGAGGTTATGATGATGGAGGAGAAAGAGGCGCCTGTCACTCTTAAAAAAACTACTAGTGATGAATCTAAAAAAACAACAAAAGAAGAAGAAGAAGGAGCAATAACAACAACAACAAAGAGAGCTGTGGAGTGCATCTATGGAAGCAATGAGGATGAGCTTAACAAAATTCATCTCATGAGGGCCTTTGTACAAACACAAGATCCTTCTTCCAAGGTTCCTTCTCTCACTCCCTTTTCTTTTTATCCTATATATTTAGATCATGAATTTCGATAAGGATTTAGAAAGAAAAAAATATATATATATTTCATCCACATAAAAAGGGATAATTTTTTAATGTTTCCTTTTCCTTTCAGTCAACAAATTTCCTTCAAATCCTAAATCCAAAGCAATCAAAGAGAAGGAAAAAAATAAAATAAAATAAATAAATAAATAAAAAAGGCCTATCGTATTATAAAATTAAAATGCAACATAATCTTTGTAATAATAAAAAAAATATAAAAAAAAATATTGATCTAAATAAGTTTATTTTTTGATTTTTTACAAAAAGATGTATAGAAAAGTAAAGAGGTGATATGACTAAAAAAAAAAAGATAAAAAAGTTTACTTATATAGAACACTCCAAACAAACTCTCAATAAAAACAAAAAATTACTAAAAAAAGCAATTCTCTCTTATTTTGAAAGTATAGGTTAAAAGTTGATTTGTTTTTTTTTTTTTTTAAAAATGCGTAAAGAAATAGTAAGGTGATATAACTTTAAAAAATCAAAAAATTAAAAAATTGAAAAGTTGTCTTTTAACCCAGTTCCCAAATGAATGTTTTGAAAAGTTAAAAATTAACCTTTTAAACACTTTTTTTTTATTTTAAAAATGTATAAAAAATAGAGATAATATAACTTAAAAAAAATTAAAAAACTAAAAAAACTAACCTTATCTATCAAGAATTATTCACTCAGGTGATTATAGTGAAATTGTTCCGTATCCATGTCTCTCTCCCATTTACGTTCCCACTTTCTCTCACTCTCTTTAATGGGTAGTTTTTGTTGAACAATTTGATAAGAAAAATTAAAAGGAAAATGAAATAGAAATTAAATGAAAAAAATTTAATAAAATTCGAATTTCAAGTTATATTTGGTTGGATTGAGATTATTTCAAGTTATATTTAGTTGAGTTGAAAATTGAATAAAGAAAAGAACTTAAGTAAATCTAAAACACGAAAATTGAAATTACACTTTCTTCCCACTTTTTTTTCCCTGTGTTCCCAATTAGCCAAACAAAAAGTGAGATTGCATTTTATTTCTTTTCTCTCATTAAATCCTCCAATCAAATCCAATCTTAAGGTTCTATTTTATTAAAAAAAAATAATTCAGTAGAAAGTGAAAGAAAATAAATAGAAAAGAAAATATATTTTTTAAAAACATTTGATTAAGATGAAAATTTTGCAAGAAAAAAATTAAAAATTGTAAAAGTTTAATTATAGATATCTCACACATTTAATTTTCTTGTAATTTTTTTACAAAAAATTAAAAATTAATTACAATGTCAATATTGGTTATATAAAAAAAAATTAATTTTTTTTTTATTTTTCATCACTTTCAAAGTAAACAAATTCATAAAAAAAAAAAATTTTCCTGTTATTCTTTTATTTTCTAAAAAGTAACATACAAATAATAAATCTTATTATTTAAATCAATTAAAAACAAGTTGAAGCCTTGAAGGCACCACATAATTTTACCGCAGGTGAACTAAAAATAATTTTTCTCCTTTTCACGGGCTTACCATTCTCTCGTCAGGTCGAATATGGATCATCCAGTCATATCAATCACCCTTTCTTTCTTTCTTTCTTTTGTTTTTCTTTTTCAACATTTTTATTTACTTATTTTATTTAGTTTTTTTTTTCACTTTTTTAGAAAATCATAGAAAAGCTTAATGTGAATAAAATAAGTTTTTCATCTCCATGTAAGATTATAAACGGATTGAGTTATTAGCGAGCTGACTCGACTCATTAAGGACTCAACTCGTTTAATAAATGAATTGAATGAATTCGACTTGTTTATTTTTATTTAAATTATATATTAAATATATTATTTATATATTAAATAATATACTAAATATATACATATATATAAAAAAAATCTTATTGAGCCGAGCCAAACCGAGTTCGAACCCAATTAATTCTGGAACTGAACTCGAGCTCAATAAACAAATTTGATAATTAAACGAGCCGAACTCAAGCTCAACAAATCTCGACTTGGCTCGTTTACAGCCCTACTTTCATGAACTAGTTGAGGGGAGGCTCTATATACACACCAAAAATAATTTGAAAAATAAATATTGTTCTAATCACACACCACAAATTTATGTATTTATCCATACTCACACACCAACCCCAACAATATACACACAAAGTTCCACCTTTGCCCCCACACAGCCACACACCCCACACCCACGATATTCATCTCCTCCTCCATTCTCTATTCAAACTGGTGAACACCATTGCTGAAAACACACGTCGTCTATGGTGTTGCTCAACATAGTTGGAACTTCACATTGGAGATTTAGTAGGTGAGTTATTATTTATTTTAGGGTTTTATGCACTTATCTCCATTGCTGAAAACACAACATTACTGCATTCCACGGATGCCTCGTTCTGAAAAAAAAAAACAAAAAAATAAATTGTAAATGTTCGGCAGTACAGAGTCGAATTAAATGAAATTGCTCGATTGTTGTTAACCGAATATACGAACAAAGTTCGACTGTAGTATGTTGAACAAAGACATTTTGTTCGACGGTAGTATGTTGAACAAAGGCATTTTGTTCGACCGTAATATGTTGAACAAAGACATGTTGTTCGACGGTAGTATGTTGAACAAAGCCATTTTGTTCGACCGTAGTATGTTGAACAAAGGCATTTTGTTTGACTTTAGTATGTTGAACAATGATATAATATCCACCTCTGGTTATTCGAACTGTACCAATTATTTACCACTCAGCAAGTAACGAAAACGAAAACAAAAACAACAAAAAAATAACCTCTTCCTTACTCCATTGTTGCGAATCAAAGTTGCCAGATGCATCATTTATTGAATCCATTCAAAATCTTCAATAATACTATATTTTTGATTATTTGTTGAAGAGTTTTTGGTTTTGGTTTTAGGGTTTTTGTATTATTGACAAAAAGATACGTAAGGAATAAGTTTGAAATTGATGATTTATATTATATTCATTCTTGTCCTTTATGGTAAATACACAAATGGTGTGTAACATAACTTGTCCTCTATAGTCATTTCACTTAAGGTTAAAATTGTAATAAAAAAAAAATAATTAATGGTTTACCTTGAGAGAAAAGGTAGTGTGTAAATAGAGCCACCCCTAGTTGAGATATTTATTTGTTGTTAATTATCTTTGATGGGTTATTTGTCCAATTAAATGAAGGGAAACGATAAAACTTACAAACCATATTTTAATTATGACATAAAACTTACAAATCATCACACCACTGCCACCACCATCACCATCCTCAATGCACCTCAGTGCCATCACCCCACCACCCTGTCATCACCTCCACCACTCACCACCACCACAATTACCATCACGCCACTACCTGACCACTGTCACCTCTACCACCTCCTCCTCCTCCTCCTCCTTCACTACCATATCAACGCCACCACTACCATTCCAATATAACCATTAATATATTAGTTTCAACATCAAAAAAATATTTTCTACCGAAATGAACTGAGCATTAGTTCCTTTTAGAGTTTATGTATAATTGTAGTATACGAAAAGCAAAAGGAAGGATGACTCTTTGCTCAAACCATATCTACTTTCCTCTACAACCAGCTGGTACATGTTCTTTTCCAAGCATGCTAGCTAGATTGCTTTAAAATGGTTTCTTCTACAAGAAGCTGTATTAAAAGAACTAACTAAATTTTAAAGAATGAAACATTGAAAAAATAATGATGATCAAACAAAATGTAAGTAGTGGATACTAAAGCATTAGCCTGCATTGTGCATATATACTGTGATCAGATCACTGAATTTTTTTTTTTTTTTTTTTTTTTTTTTTTGGGTTGAAATGGATTTACAGGATGCAGATGATTTGATGATCAGAAGGTTTCTCCGAGCTCGCGATCTAGACATAGAAAAGGCTTCAACAATGTTCCTCAAGTACCTGAAATGGAGAAGAACATTTGTATCGAATGGATTCATATCCGCTTCAGAGATCCAACATGACTTAGCACAGAACAAAATGTTTCTTCAAGGAATGGATAAAAAGGGACGTCCCATAACAGTTGCCTTTGGTGGTAGACATTTTCACAACAAAGGAGGTTTGGTTGAGTTCAAACGTATGTTCCTCACATTTTTCTATGTTTTTTTTTTTCACTTTTTTTCATGCTTAAATTATGAGTCATTGAAGTTCAGATATGCTTTGTTTGGTTCCATGAAAAATATTTTCCAACTAATGGACCAATGGTTGTATTAGTGGCAATGTTATTGGAGGTCAGGTGGTCTTGTGATATTGGTACGATTTTAATCCGAAAATATTTTATATCATTCAAAAGTTTAAAAAAAATTAAAAATAAAAATAAAACTCATTTTCTATTAACCACAAAAACATTTTGCTTTGATTTTCTTTTTTCATCCGACCAAATGTTAGAAAATATAATAAATAAATAAATAAAATAAAAAATTTCAAGAGTTACGGTGTAATAAAATTTACAAAAAGCAAAGGAATAACCTATACAAGTAGCTCAACAGAGGACAAACCTTGAGACCAGTTACAAGATATCTTTGATTCAACTCTCATCCCTCAATCTTAATTGATACTTGTAATTTGTAAGTAATTTTAAGTATTTGAGATTTACTTTGCAAGTAATTGTAAATATATGAGATTTATTTTGCAGGAGTCGTGCCATGATGAGGTTCCTTATCATTAAAATAAAAAATGAAAAATTATCAATTTCCTTTTAGTTCTTTTAGGAAGAATTAATTACATCAAAATCCCTCATCTATGAATCTGTACATATTGATCTCCTCAAATATGAAAATTATATAAATACACCCATTTTAAAAGTGATCTAGAATGGGTGAAAATTATATATTTCTATAATAGAGAGGATCAAAATATACAAGTTCATAGATTAAGAGATAAAGTAATATTTGCTAATAATTGAAGGAGTCTTAGTGTAACTAGCCCATTAATTTACCAAGTAGATGTTGAAGTTGAACTAGTTATTGATTAAACCGTTAAACTCTTCTTTTCACAGGTTTCACAGTCTTTGCTCTTGAGAAATTGTGTTCAAGGTAGTACTTTCCTAAAAAGCTAGCTCTCTTCAGTCACTCTCACACGCATGCCCACACAAGCCATCAAACTCATTTCAGTGAACCAAACTAAGAGCTTGTTTGGTGTAGTTTCTAGTATAGGTTGAAAGCTGATAAATCATAAACCAAAAGCTAAAAGCACATCTTCTCTTACTTCCTAATAATCAGCTATTTTCCACCTATTTAGTTACTTCTACCTCATAAACAATAAATAAAAACAGCACTAAACATTCTGACACATATTTCCAAAATAAATAAATATATATATATACAAGTAGCTCCATAAGCTACACCAAACAATCCCTAATTCTTGTGCCCTGATGAGGCTATATCTTATGTCACATTGATGTTTCAGGATGCCAGCAGGACAGGAGAAGTTTGTTGTTATCTGCGATCTTGAGGGATGGGGATATGCAAACAGTGACATTCGCGCATACCTGGGAGCTCTATCCATTTTGCAGGTTTAGCCCTCTGTATATTTCTTCATTCTGCAGTGTTCAATTTCTTACTAAATTTGATCAAGGTCTTGTTGATTGGACGGCACAACCAGGACATACCAGAAACTTGATCTTCTGAAACTGAAAAATAGCCTCCTTTTTATCTAGGGTTTGGGTTCTGGACCGTCAAATGATTGGAGAGAAGCCCAAACTTTTCCTGCAATGTACCCTATTTTCAGTTTGTACTTGATGAAACGAACTATAACATGAACATAGAGGATGAACCAATCTAACATTTATATTAAGAAGATCAAATGTAGTATTTGTTGACATTGATTTACTAGTAATAACTAACAACTTGCTGATAATGGCAGGACTACTATCCAGAAAGACTTGGGAAGTTATTTATCATTCATGTGCCTTACATATTTATGGCAGTGTGGAAGGTTGTACCTTCATTTATCGACGACAATACTAAGAAGAAGGTAAAAAAAGTTTCAACTCTCTATTTTACAAGCAAGCTAACCACAGTCAAATGTCATGTATTATGTTCAAGTGCACAATTGAATTGTATCACAATAGGGTAAACTAATCATTCTGTGTCCCATTCTGTCATAGATCATGTTTGTGGAGAACAAGAAACTGAAGTCAACTCTGCTACAAGACATTGACGAGAGCCAGCTTCCGGAGATTTATGGAGGCAAACTGCCATTGGCTCCTATCCAAGACAGCTAAGTAGTTGCTATGTTACATTTCGAAGGTCATGATTTGTTTGACCTGTCATGTGTTGTACAAAACCCTTGATGAGTCTGTTTTTGAGTTTCCGAGAAAGAATTATCTACTGTGTTAAAACAATCTATGTAGTATCTATTTAATTGTTCAATGGTATAAAAAAAAGAATTGTCGTAATTGAGAGGAGGATAAATATTCGTGTTTGTGCTCAGCATACCTAATTTTCATATAGGGATTCTTCGCTGCACCACTTGCTGAGAGGTCCAACACTACAAGCATTGCGTCCCAGAGCATGTGATTTAGAACCAAAACCTTCAACATCAATCAACAATAATCAGAAAACCTGCTATATATGACCTGAAAATACCATCAAGAATAACATAGTACTACATATACTGTCCTGATTGAAAAAAATATTTAAGAAGAAAAATTAGCATTGCATCTGAGGCTGTCTGAATATTAATGAACAACCATTTGTAGACACTGTAGTGTGGCTTGTTGGTCAAACACAATGACCTTCAGATGCTAATTGGCCCATGATCATTCTTGAACAGTGTATAAAGCTAATTTAATTACGCTTTGATGCAGGAAGGTTCAGATCTAAGATAAGTTTTGATAGGCAGAGCGGGATAAAATTAAGAATCATTATTCCAAAGCTTGGGATTATGCATAAGACAATTTTAACTAAGCTGGAGTGCTGGTGAAAACGAGCGAATTGAGGACAAAAAAAAGCAACAGAGTGAGTTAGAGAAAGAGAGAGAGAGAGAGAAGAAACTCAAAAAAATACTTAGCCTGTGTTTAGGTCATGGATTTGGGTATGGATTTGGAAAGGCTGAGAAAAGGTGTGAGAAATAGATAATAATAAAAAAAAAAAAGAAAAAAGAAGAAGCTTATTTCATTCACATTTTCTTTTATCTTTCCAAATCCCTAACCATAGTTATGATCCAAAACCACGGCCTAAAGATGTGTAGAATTTTATCAAGACTAAACCCATAATAACATTTCAAGTATCAACAAAACTCTCTAAGTGGAGAAGAAAACTTTGGTACATGCCCTTTTAACAGAAATTATGTAACTCCAAGGTAGATTCAAATGATGCATAACCGACAGTCAAAACAAAATCTTACTCAGTATTGGAAATTTACCAGATATTTCTAGTAGCATGGCTAAACTACGTTAAACATACAATGAGTCGGGATAGAAATTTTGAAGCTTATATCTACTCCAAAATTAGGAAACAACACCAGAAACACATTAGCATGAGCAATGAGCTTAGAAAGACTAAGAAAATGCTTAGCTTTATAACCATGCAAAGCACAATTATTAGCACACCTTGTGGTTGTTTGGATCACATTGCGCAGTTCCATCTGGTTCGAGCAGCATTAGCATATATGGAACGTTCTTAAAGTCCAATCAAGCCAAAAAGATTGGCCTTGCTCTACCATGTTTATCCAGATTCATAGCCTTAGCAGATGCACTCTAATTGCAAACTTCAAGTTATTTCGACCATATCTTTTGGTTTGCCAAAGTACCTTAAAGGCTACTGCCAATAATCTCCACAAGTACACACACCACCATCAAACCGATGAAAACGGATACGGTCCCTCACAATTATAACCCTGTTTAGTATCCTTGAAACCACTTTCATCCAATAATGACAATCAAGACAAGTCCGGAGGTTTTTGCTAATCTGGATCTCCATTCCAAGGCTAGTTTTTAAAATCCCATATGCCAATACCAATTTCTCACTGATAATTCAGATTTTCCTCCTTTTCCTCGTCAGATACATCCACCAACACTAACTCCACTGCAGGAGAAAATCCCTCCATTTTGGCCCGTTGAATCAATCCTTCCAACACCTTGTATATTGCTTCCCTTTCCAAGTGTGATACATCACCAGCTTTAAATTGATGAATGGCACCTGCCATCTCTATCCAACTCTTTCCTCTATATTTACGAATTCCATTCTTTTTCATAGTATCTCTCACTCTTTCAGCAATATCCCATTTGTTTACAGAACAATAAAAATTTGATAGCAAAAGGTAATCCCCACTGCCGAGATGTTTAATTTTCCCAGTAGCAACTTCACCCAAATCAAAATTTCTCTGAGTTCTACATGCACTGAGAAGTGCCATCCATATTACAATATCAGGTTCCATTGACATTTCTTTAATGATTGAACAAGCATCATCTAGGTGCCCAGTTCGACCCAAGAGATCAACCATGGCTCCGTAATGCTCAAGTTGTGGCTGAATTGAGTAACATGTCATTGAATCGAAGTACTTGTGTGACACGACCCAAACCCGCCCCTATAGGTTTAGCGTCGTAACCGGCCAATAATCCTTGAATTACCAAAGACCTCTTAGCATAATAACATATAGTTAGGGGCTGCGGAAGCAAATATACAACATATGAAATCCATTGAGCTGTGAAGACATACATGGAACTGAAAATCTCAAACTTTATATACATACAAGTGACATCATAGATACAGTATTTACAAGTCACTAACAAGTACATACAGAAGGGGAACTTGTTCATAAAACAAGAGAAACAGTCTTATACATTCATATTGACACAACCACAACACAATACTTGATCTGGAACCTCCTCGTGAGGTGCAAAGGGGTGGCTGACCAACACAAAATACCCCAGGCATCATCTTAAGCCTGATCACGAGCCTGCTCACCTACATACATAATAAATAACTAGTGAGCGGAAGCCCAGTGAATAATAACAAAGTAAAGGGTTAAATGAATGATGTCCTATAACTGTGACTGTGACTGAAATGCACATCCGTATTTTTATTCAGAGCATATATAGAATACAAAGTTAATACTTAGTCTTACATAATACATCCATCAACGCTGACAAATCACACATAGATTGTTCTTAAATTGTATTTGTCAGTTCTATATAAGAACCTCCGGCCGGGTAACTTGTCAGTTCCACTTAGGAACCTCCAACCGGGTATAGATAGCTTGTCAGTCCCATAAGGAACCTCCGGTACCGGGAACTTGCATATACTTGAATCATGATATTACTTGAATCATAGCATAATGTTATAAGTGCTTGTTAGGCTTGGACAATCATTCATTGCATAAAACATAACATTTCATAAAGCAATTCTTAATCCGTGAGTAGAAAATGATTTACTTGAATATAGCTTTACTAAGTTATTATTCACAAATAATAGATGCTCCAAGTAAACAAACCGAGCAGCCAATTCATCTTCCTTGTGGCGTGTGACCTAAACAGCACGACAGATACATACATTGAAACACACGTTTGGATTATACTTAACTTATTTCATTTGTTCTAGTGTGTTTCTACTCCTTTTATCCTCATTACAGTGTCTTAATCTTGGCCTAGGAATGCGTAGAATGGAATGAGAATGCAAAAATGCACTTAAAATCATTTTCCAAGACTTGCTGAAAGTAGGGTCCACGCTCGAGTGTGTCTTTACTCGCTCGAGCGGACATGCAAAAAGTAAGGGTTTGCTCGAGCGTGACTTCCCTCGCTCAAGCGTATTGTAAACTTTGAAAAAGTACTGGTTGCTTGCATTTCACGTTCGACCCACGCTCGAGCATGAGGCTCAGGCCTTCGCTCGAGCGTGACTTCCGTCGCTCGAGCGTGCTGCAAAACATATGAACTTTTGGATACATGCATTTCACGCTCGAGCGGTTATCATGTCGCTCAAGCGGAAGTGCATGCATTCAGAGTTCTCGCTCGAGTGTGAACTCCTACGCTCGAGCGTAGATTCAAATTCTAGAATTTCCAGATTTGATCTCCAAGCTTCAAACTCAAACTTTAAAGCATCAAATTCGATTTTTCTGGGCCAAAACTTGAGAAAATACATGAAAACTCTTAAAACAACAAGAATGAAAGTTGATTTCAAAGAATTATGGCTCAAAAGCTTCTCAATTGTTCAAAAATTCAACTTAAACTTTAAAAATGTCTCATGAACATAACATGCATGAATTTTCTTAAACTCCAACTTCTCAAAACATGATCAAGTGCTACAAAACATCATGAAACTTGATGATTCCACAAAATTAAGGTGAAGTCAAGACATGCATGAGAGAATTCTTAGTAAACATGTCCCAAATACAATGAAATGTACATGCATGTTTGAATTGGTCTTCCTTCCTACTTCTTAAGCTTGGTTCACACATTTCCTAGCTCAATTCACTTAGATTCATGGGTGAATCAACTCAACTTCAAGACTAAAGGTTTGGCTTCTTACCTAAAGTCTTCAATTCTTTGGGCTCTTGATGAATCCTAGATCAATTCTCCAATTCTCCTTCAATTTCTTAGCCAATTCTTTGTTTGAGCTCAATTCCTCCCTACTTCCCCTTTCTCATGTTTTTCTTCCTTGAAGAGGCTCAATGTGCTCAAATGACAGAAAAGAGGTGAGTGGCGCTCAATTGGTGCATAAAAGGCTTGGTTATAGTATAGTTAATTGAGGTTAAAATAAATGGGCATTAATTTAATCGTTCCGAATCAAATTTCAATTAAGCCTACCATAAAATTCTAAAAATCTTAATTAACATATAAATCAAATCAATTTCTGGTTCGGATGCCGACAAGGCCTTCAATTCACAGAATATAGCAAAAACTCAAACAGATATTCCTACAATAAACAGATGGAAACATAAATAATGCACCATATATGCAATTAATTCAAAATCTGGTCTTAATATCTTATTAGGCCCATTAAATCACGGATTATCGTTAATCTTGGATCGGGGTTGTTACATTGTGACCCTGTTCAACTCGGTGCGGTTACCAATCTAGTCTTCAACTCTTGGAAGGCTGACTCTCTTTGTTCGTTCCAATCAAAAGACACATTTTTCTGAGTTAACTAGGTCAATGGCATAGCAAGTTTTGAAAAGTCTTTCACAAATCTTCTGTAGTAACCTGCTAGTCCTAGAAAACTTCTAACTTCTATCACATTTGTCGATTTAGGCCAGTCCACAATAGCTTCAATTTTCTGAGGGTCAACAGAAATGTCTGCCTTGTTGATTACATGCCCTAAAAATGCCACACTGCCAGCCATAATTCACATTTGGACAATTTAGCGTATAGTTTCTTTTCTCTCAATGTCTGTAGAGTCGTTCTCAAGTGATTCTCATGTTCTTCCCTATCTTTAGAATAGATCAAAATATCATCAATAAACACAACGATAAATTC